TTTTTTTTTTTTTTTTTTTTTTTTTTTGAATTATGCCACTATTTTAAGGATTACCTATTGAAGGAGTTTTTTTTAAATCATCTTAGATTAATGTTCCTCAAAGGGAGCAGTTGAAACTTTGGAGCGTTAGAAAGTCTCTTGATTCGCTGGGTGACTTAATTTGGTCCTTATAGCGTTAGTGTAGCGAATTTTGAAATTCGAAAAACGAACAATTTAATAGTTTTGAATCGAATCGGAAAGAAAAATTAGAACGAAATTTTGGCGGGGGGTAGGGGCGGACGATGCAGTAGAAACTTGAAGATTTTTTAACCGCTTTTGGAAAATTAGTTCTGGCTTAAAAGTAAGAGTAAATGAATAAGGAGGGAAGGACGTGTGATAAAAGAATTTTAAGTTCAAGGAAATGGACGAACTAAAAGGTTCAAGAGATACTCATTATTATGGTAGTGCAGACCGTTTTGGATGTTTTCTGCTTGCTCTCGAAATAGCAGTTTTTAAAATTTGTATGAGCTTGTTTCTGTTTTGGATCGTTTTTATTTGGTTTGTAATGAAGCTTCAACTTGTTTAGGGGAAAATATATGGAACAACGCGACCAGCAGCGTGAAGACCAGAGGCGTACGGAGAGTAATAAACCCGCGGTAGAGGAAGAGGAAGCAGAAGTTGGTCATCTCAATACAGTAGATGATTTGGAAGATGAAGAGGAGGAAACCATGGGTGATGATGATATGCGAACTGTTATTGGGACGAGAGCTGAAAAGTCTCTTGGTTTGCTCACTAGACGGTTTCTACAACTCTTGCAGAGCGCTAGAGGGGGGATAGTAGACTTGAATACAGTTAGTTGTTCTATGTTTTTCTTTGTTTTACTGTTCCAGTTGATGCTGTTTGAAACTTTCAAATCATTTCTGCATAACGGCAGTCAAGTTTTTTTTGGTTTATTCTTTTTGTTTAAAAAATCATTTATGATTGACTAGTCTCTCATTTTGGTTTTTTTAGGCAGCTGAGGACCTGAATGTAAAGCAGAAAAGGCGCATTTACGATATAACCAATGTGTTGGAAGGAGTTGGCTTAATTGAAAAGAAATCCAAAAATATTATACATTGGAAGTTAGTTTTTTCTTAGATTGCTCTCATGGAAGATCTTATTCCTGAAACACTTTCTCTTTCTTTAAAGGGGGTAAGTGGCAAACGCTCTTTACTTTCTTTTTAATAAGACGTTTTGAAACGTTTGAGAAGTCATTTTTTTTAGAGGAGGTGAGATGAGGAAAGCGGGTTCAAAGGAGCTCAAACCAGAGGAGGAAGAGCACCTTTTCAAATTGAAGTTGGAGCTTGCAGAGCAAGAAAGGGAAGAACGTCTGTTAGATACACATATAAAATGGATGAAACAGGTGAGCAGCTTAG